ACACTCTACACAACTAGCATAACACATTATTGTCAAGTCAACATGAAGTAATTATCATTAAGGTAGATGATATTTGGACCATTAAACAAACATTCACAAATTTAAAGGAATAAAAGTCATACAAAAATATATTCTTAGAGTGTGGTGGAATCAAATTATTAATCCCTAAGCAATATATACGGAGAATCCTGAAATCATGGAAAGTTAGTGGCACACTTGTAAATAACCAATGGGCCATAGAGAAAGTGTCAATTAAACTTATTTTAAACATAATAAAAATTACTCTATTACGTATCAAATTTTGCAAGATGAAGCACAAATTTGCATAGACGGAAATTCGTAATATTAAATGTGGATATCATAAAAAAACAATGATCTCACATGAGTGGCCTGAAATATTTCTTGCAGAATTCAGAGGAAGAATATTAATTTAAAACGAAAGCAAACTGAGAAAAAGAGCTAACAACAATTAGGGCAGAAATTAATGAAATTAAAAATTACAGATAGAGAAAGATAGAGAAAATCAATGAAATTGAAAGCCTGTTTATGAAAAGATCAACAAAGAATTACTAAGAACAAAGAAAGAAGGTGCAGATTGACAATAGCAGAATTAAAAGAGAAATTATCATTGCACTCTACCATTATTACAAGGATAATAAAGTAATACTACTACAAACAATTCTACACACACAAATTGGATAACTGAGATTTAAAAACTCCTGTATAGACTCAAGACATACAACGAAACCTCACTGAAGATGCAATAGACAATTTGAATAGATCTATATCGATTAAGAAATTAAATTTGCAAATCAAATCTTCCCCCCAAAACCAAGTCACCAGTTGTTTTGGTGAATTCTACAAATATTTAAGGTCAAGATAATTCAAACTGTACCCAATTATTTTTTAGAAAAATATAAGGAAACACTTTCTGACAGATTTTATGAGGCCAGCATTTCACTAATAGCAAAACCAAAAAATGGTATTGTAAGAAAAGATAACTATAGACTAATATCAGTCATGAACAAAGATGGGAAAAATTTTTTTAAATTTCCACATGATATTGAACTAATCTATACATCTATCTATCTATCTGGGGTGATACATTATAAATAAGAAAAACAAGGCTCATTCACTATTCAAAATTTAAAGGAATGTACTGTAGAAATCCTATTTTAAAAATCTCAATAGATGCAGAAAAAGCATGAAATAACATTCAACATTCATTTCTGGTAAAAACTGTCAGCAAATTAGGAATAAAAGAGAAATTTCTTAACCAAATAAAGGATATGTTTTGTAATCTACATACTTAAGGGTGAGGATTAAAATTTTCTTTCCTAAGACTTGGAACAAGTCACTCCTATTCAGTATTGTATTAGAAGACTTGCACAGTGCTATAAGGCAGAAATAAGAAATAAAAGGCATGCATATTAGAAAGGAAGAAATGCAACTGACTCTATTTGTGATTAAAATGAATGTTTTCTTATCAAAAACATACATTATCCAGAAAAAGCCTCTATAACTAACGATTAAAATTAGAAATGTTTTAGTATCAAAGGCCAATACACAATTACAGCATATATTAAATATAATTATACAATAATGTATCATATATGAACAGAGAAACAATTTTTTAATTAAATTACTATTTAAAATAAAAGAAAATAATTAAATACTAAGGAATAATTCTAACAAAAGAAGTGCTGGCCCTTTCTGATTAAAACTCCAAAACTTGGATGAAAGAAATAAGAGATGATTTAAGTAAAAAAGAGAGGCATGAAAGACCTATGGATTCAGTCTTAATATTGCTAAGAAGACAGTACTCCCAATTTCTACTTGTAGAATTCATATACTGCAGATGAACATCCTAGCAGACCTCTTTTGTAGATTATCATCAAGCTAATTCTAAAATATATAAAGGCAAAAGTACTGGAAGAGCCAAAATACTTCTGAAATAGAACAAAGTTAGAGGATACAAACTACTTGATCACAAGGCTTGCCATTAAGCTACAGTCTTCAAGACAGTGTGGTTTTGGTGGAAGGCTAGACTCATAGACCAATGGAATACAAAGAGATTCGAGAAACAGACTCACAGAAATATATTCAACTGGGGTTTGACAAAGGTGAAAAGACTATTCCAAAAGAAAGAACAGTCTCTTCAATAAGAGACATTGTATTAATATGATCTGCCTATGCAGGAAAATGAACCTTCATAGATATTTCACAACTTTAACAAAAATGGACCACAAATAGACCATAGACTAAAGTGTAAAATCTAAAACTATAAAAGACTATAATATATTATAGGGGGAAATAGACATGACTTTAGGTTTGTTGGTGAGGTTGTTTTTAGCTAAAACACCAAAAGCATGATCCATAAAAAATATATTGAAAAAGTAGATTTTATCAAATTTAAAAATGTTCACTCTGTAAAAGACACTGTTAAGAAAACCAAAAGCTAAGACAAACTGGGAAAATATGAGCAAGTCACAGGTGTTATAAAGTCTTTTATTCAGAATATATTTTTTAAAATCCTTAAAATTCAAAAATATGTAACAATCTACATTAAAATTAGCAAAAGTTGTGAGTATATATGTGTGTGTGTGTATATATATATATATATATATGTATATATAAAATAGATAAATGGGAAATAAACAAATGGGAAATGAAAGTATGGCAATAAACATTCCCACCACAGGTGGCCATGAGGGTCAACTGCAGGGACAGGAGGACACTGCCTGGGGCAGTGGTCATGTTCTAGATCTTGGCAGAGTGGTGACACTGGTTATGCATTCACTAAAATTCCTTAGTCTGGACACATAACATGAGACATTTTATCATATATAAATTATACCTAATACAAGGTGATTTTTTAAAATACAGGTGAGTTTCCCAAACAGTGCACAGAGGTCCTGTTCTGGCAGCCTGGCTCTCAGAGAGGGGAAGTGAGAGTGGCCAGTGTGCTCATCCTGTGGGCACCCTTCACTACCCCGCACTGCCTTCTGGGGGTTTCCCTCCATCCTTCTAGCCCAGCCCCACCCTGGAACCTGTGAGGTTCCAGGACAAATCCCCCCTTTCCTGAAGACGTACACCCAGCCCCACCTCAGGGCCTTTGCACTGGCTGTGCCATCTGCCTGGAGCTCTGTTGTCCTGTTCCAGGCAGGACTTCCAGGTCTCATAGATCTCCCTGACTGACCAGTGTCCAGTGGCACCAACTCTCTCTGTCCCCCTTCTATTTCACTTCCAACAGAGCATCTATAACTCCCTGATCCTAATTATACTCACTGCCCCCCATTGCCCCCCACTCCACACCCCAAAGTTGGGCTGAGCAATACCACAGCCACCAGCCACATGTGGCCATTGGATGCTGGAAATTGGGCTGGTCCAACTGACACATGCTCCAAGTGGAAATGATATACATGAAATTCCAAAGACATAGTACAGACACCCAACACCCAGAAGAACATAAATTATCTTCTTTTTTTAAGTCTGATTAAGAAGGCTTCATTGTATTTATTTGATAGACTGGTAGATAGAGAAAAATGAAGGATATGTCTATCATATATGTTATGATAGAGAAGTAAAGAAGTCTAGAAGTTTTTAATTTCAACATATTATGGGGGTACAAATGTTTAGGTTACATACATTGCCCTTGTCCAACACGAGTCAGAGCTTGAAGCTCGTCTTCAAGCTCATCTCCCAGATGGTGCTTATCTTACTCATTACATGTGCATATACCCATCCCCTCCTCCCACCCCACCTGCCCTACACCCAGTGAATGTTACTACTATATATGCACTTAAGTGTTGATCAGTTAAAACCTATTTGATGGTGAGTACATATGGTGCTTATGTTTCCATTCTTGGGATACTTCACTTAGTAGAATGGACTCCAGCTCTATTCTGGATAATACAAGATGCGCTAGATTGCCATTGTTTTTTTGTGGCTGAATAGAACTCCATGGTATACATATACCACATTTAATAATACACAAATGTATTGACGAGCACTTGGGTTGTTTCCACATTTTTGCAATTGTGAATTCTGCTTCTATAAACATTCTCAAAATTTCTAATCATCAGGGAAATGCAAATGAAAACCACAATGAGATATCACTTATCTCCAGTGAGAATGGCCTTTATCAAAAAGTCCCAACACAATAAATGTTGGCATGGATACAGAGTGATAGGAACATTCCTACACTGCTGGTGGGACTGCAAACTAGTTCAACCTCTGTGGAAAGCAATACGGAGATACCTCAAAGAGATACAAGTAGATCTACCATTTGATCCAGCAATTCCACTACTGGGCATTTACCCTAAAGAACAAAAGACATTCTATAAAAAAGATATCTGCACTCAAAAGTTTATAGTAAATTATCTTATGAATAATTGTTCTTGGAATTTAATATAAAATTTTAGATATCTTAGGTTAAACAAAAATATCATCTAAATTACTGTCACTTGTTTACTTTTACTTTTTGAACGTGTCTACTAGAGAATTTAAAATTGCTCCCGGCCGCGTGTCACATCTCTATTGGGCAGCAGCTCTGCAGTGTCAAGTCCATGGCTCAGTCTCCAGGCCCTAGAACCCTGGCCCAGGGAGGAGCTAGTAAAAGGTTTGTTTATTGAATGATATTGAGCTTCAGAGGAGAACCAGAAGGTTAATTTCCTCATGCTTGGTAAACAAGTTCAGAACAGGATGTGGGCTGGGTTTTCCAGGATCCTCTGATGTCACACTTTGCCCTGAGGACTCCACACCTTGACCAAGTGCTCAGAGGTGACCCTGACCTGGAACAACTTCAGGAGGCCAAAATGTCTCGTTTACCCTTTTCTTGGGGAAACAGTGAAGAGGTCATGTTGTTTTCACTGTCACCACTCTGGAAACAGAGTGACACTAGCTTGGGAGCACTGGGGAGGAGGGGCAGGACTGGGGGAGTGGCAGAGTGAGGGCAGGAGCAGGAAGGAAGTGAGATGGAGGAGGAAGAGGAGGAGCCAGCTAGTTGGCAGGTGGGATGGGGGGGCCCTAGCAGGGTAAAAGCGCTGCAGCCTGCAGGAGGGAGCTGAGGGCTCAGGATCACACCACTGGCTCCTCTGCAGCTCCAGCTTCTCACTGTACATCTGAGCAGGCCATGACCGGGCCCCTGAGTGCCCCACTGCTCCTGCTGGCTATCCTGGCCGTGACCCTAACTATGACCCTTGCCATGACCCTGGCCAAGAACTCCAAACGGGTGGGTGCCATTGAGGAAGCAGATGTCAAAGATCAGGACATGCAGCGGGCGCTGGACTTTGCCATCCTCAAATACAAGGAGAAGAGCAATGACTCATACTACAGCAGAGTGCGGCAGATAGTGAAAATCCTGCAGGAGGTGCGTGCTGCCCCCTCCCCACTGGATCCTGAGTCCTGGATGGGTTTGCCCCACAGAGAGAATTAGGAGCAAATCAGCACTGACACATTGAAATATGACATGCTCAGGCTTACTCAGATTTCCTTGCCTTTCCCACCGATGGCCTTTGTACCTGAGGACATGCCCAAGCTCTCATCATGGCCCCTGCCCTGTCTCCTCAGACTCCTCTAACCTGCAGCTGCCGTCAGGTTTTAGCAGTGAGTCTATTTCCTGTCCTTGACATTTTTCTAGTGTGTCCAGGCACTTGTGGGATAGAGACGGTTGCTGAACCTTCTTTCCCCTCAATGTTAGATTTGAGTCATAATATATGCACAGAGGAGGCACGTCCTCTTCCCTGAGTGCTTCAGCAGATGCCACTCGGAGAGGCTGGCCTCCTGGTCCTGAAGTTACACGCTTCCCTCCAAAAGTCATGGCCTTGGGAGCGGGCCCTAAGGTGAGTGTCCTTCACCCTCAGCCCGGCAGACCACCACCCACAGCCATGCCCAGCCGAGCACCTGCTGGGGTGCAGAGGACCACGCCCAAACCCTGCCTCTACCAGCCGCAGCCTGGCGCAGCTAGACTCTGGCAGAGGGGGAGGCAGTCAGCGTGGAGAAGGGGTCGGGTGGGGGTGGGGCGGGGGGGGCTGCTGGGCCCGAGCTTGCCCTGCGCCCATTGCACAGCTGCCCAGAGCGACAGAGCAGCACAGGGTGGCATGGCAAGCCAGTGTGTAGAGCTCCTCCCACCTGCTCTCAAATGTCAGTGAATCCAGACAGCCCGCTTCTCCTCCTGCACCTTCAGCTGCTGTCCTCTCCCTGGAACCTCAGGTGCACCCCCTGGTGCTGCGGTCTCTGCTGGCCTGCGCCTCTCCAAGGTGGCTCTAATTTTGAGTGATGTACAAGACCTTGTAGATCATTGGTCCTGGGAGCCCGTGTGTCAGATGGGCAGACTGATACTGGAGTTATCACGGATCCACAGGGCAAGGTCTAGCGCCCTGATCCCAGAGCGCCTCATCCCTGCTGCTCCACAGTTCTGACATGCAGTGTCTGGGGGAGGCCCTGTGCAGAGAGGGGGGTCAGTTCTATTGTGTAATTAAAATGGAAGACATGCAGGTGTGTGATGCACTTGAGAAATGTTGCACTTGAGAAAAGTGCCAAATTGCACTTAAAAACAGAGGCAATTGAGAGCAGTCTTTATTGGCCTCCCTCCGAGTGTGTGAAGCATCTCATTTCCAACTGACAAACAAAGAAGGGAATATATAAATCTGGGGAAAACAGAGCGAGTGGGATTCTGCTGGGCTGTGTGCTGGTGGCTGGAAGTCAGCTGAGACTGAACTGTGAGAAGACAGCCCTCCTAGAATGGATCAGCGCTCCCTGTCCCTGGGCCACAGTTACAGGACTTGATGAATCCTTGCTACTACATGGAGCCTTCACTTGTGCTTAGATTGCACTGAGGTGCTCCTGGTGCAGGGACTGGTTTTTGGCCTACCCAGGCTGGCTACCCAAACCTGAATCTGCCATTCCCGAATGCAGTGAGGGGTTAGTCCTTGGCTGCCACCTTCCACTGTCCTGCTGCATGCGGCACCTTGGTGGAGTTGTTCACAGAAAGTGAATTGCAAGGGAGCACCTGTGGCCCAGCACCCTGATATCCAGAAGGGGGGTGTTGCGTGCCCTGCAGGTGACAGTGTGGCAGCTCACAAATGTAGGCGTGAAGCCCTGGGCACAGGCAGTAACTCAGCAACAGCGAACTACCTGTGTGTGTGTGTGAAATTGACGGCAGTGCTGTAGGTGAATCCTGCTCTTGCACATGTGTAGGCCATTGCTGAGATGTACTCCTTCTACGTGGAGATAATCCGGAACACATGTAACAAGTCCCAGCCCAACTTGGACAACTGTCCCAGCCAGGAGCAGCCAAATCTGAAGACGGTATGTGTCTGATGTGAGTCAGGGGCCGGTAATGCACTGCAGAGGGGGATATGTGTGTTCCTGTGATCCCGCACATATTCAAGAGGGTGTGTATACACACAGAGGCGTGTGTGTGTGGGTGTTTGCAAGCACAAAGAGTGTGGGGAAATGCAAGCATGTCTATGTGCACATGTCGAGGTGTGGGGAGGTGAATAGGAGTGTGTGTGGGAGGGAGTGTGGGGGTTCATGTATAAAATCCTGTGGTTGAGGGGTGCATGTGAGTTTACATAGATGCATTCCTGTGTGCATATGGGGAGGGTTGAAGGGTGTGTGCGCATGGCTAATTTGAATTGCAAAAAGGGCCTTAGTTGGGAATGGGTTACTGAGAGGACAACCCTGCCTGTTCTGGGGTTTTACCTGCAGTGCTGGAAGAATCAGCCTCAGAGCTGGGTGCTGGGGAGGGAGAAGGGCTCAGTGCCAGCCTCAGACACCTGCTCACAGCCACAGCCACACTGAGCAGATTACAGGGGAATCAGAGGCCTCTAAGTGGCCCAAGCCCTCCGAGTCTGCCCCTGCTTGCCCAACACCAGCCCCTGCAAGGACCAAGCAGCTTCTTGTGAGGTCTCTGCTCTGGGGAGAGCCACACTCCCCTTGTCACCCACTCCCCATGCTCCAGCTCTTTCAGAGAAGTTCCCCTACCTGTGGTCTTCCCTCTGGGCCCTCTTAGTGCTGGCCCAGGGGCTGAAGGTGGAGGGAGCTTTTGGACAGAGAGCTGCCTCCCCTGCCTGCACCCACTGGGCTCCAGTGGCCTTGCACAGGCTGCCCCTTCCAGGGCTGTGCTGGGGCAGGATGGTGAAGTCCTGAGGACTGGATGGGGGACACAGGGCCAGCTCCTACTCTTGGAGCCCTGGGAAGCCCATGGAGCAGTGACTGCACAGTTGGCTTGGGTGTCCTGGGACTTTGCAGGGTTTGTGGGGCCCGGTGTCTCAGCCCCAAGCTTCCTGGCCCCCACCATGACATCCCATGGCTGGGCATCTACCCTTGTAACTGTCACCTGCATTGATTGTCCCTCTCTCTTCACTTTCACAGGAATAGCTCTGCTATTTTTAGATCTACAGTGTTCGCTGGGAGGATTCAATGACCTTGGTGAAATCCAGCTTTATGAAGGCCTAGGGTTCTGTGCCAGGCTGAGCTGCCCCACCCTTCTTCAAGCACACCTCACCCCTCCCTGTAGTGTTCCCTTCCCTGGGATGAAGGCCCCGCCCTGGTGCAGGTCTCCTCCCCGCACCAGCACCAGGAGAGAGGCAAATAGAGAAGGCTTCAGGAGGTCTTTGTTGACCAGCCAAGTGGCTCTACCTGCTCCTTTCTCCCTACTGCCTCTCAGACTCGCTGGTACCCCACGCTCTGCTCCTGCCTCCTTTAATAAAAGAGTAGCATTGGCTCCGTCTTGAGTTTTTCCTATCTTGGGGATGTGCACATGAGGGGGGTTTTGAGACCAGCGTGGTGGCTCACCCTGTAACCCCAGTGCTTTGGGAGGCTGAGGTGGGAGGATCGCTTGAGCCCAAGAGATTGAGATTAAAGTGAACTGTGATCCTGTCACTGGTCCCCATCCAGCCAGGGTGACACAGCAAGATGCTATCTCAAAAGAAAACAAACAAAAAAAAAAAAAAATGAAGGGTTTGAGCAGCCCCTTTGTGAAGGGCTCCTTGTCCTGCTGGGTCTAGACAGCAAATCAGCACCTGAGAGCTGAGAAGCCCATCAGGGGACTGAGCGGTCACTTCGGGCACATCTGAGTCTCAGAGCAGGGACAAGAGCTTGAGGGGTGGAGCCCGGGTGCTCAGCTACAGCGGCTACTGGTGAAGGGCCCGTGGAGCAGGTGCCGGCTGCTGGCCCTGTCCCTGCACTGCTGCCCTAATCGATGCCAGGCGGGGGGAGGCCTCAGCGGGGCCAGCCAGGCAGTAGATGCCACCCACATCTGCAGAGCTGGTCACACTGCAGGGACTGACTTTGTCCCATCAATCTCCCTAGAGACTAATAAGTAGCGATTTATGTCCACCTCATTCCCCCAAATTATTTAGGTCCCTACATGAAAATAAAGACTAAAAGTGTCTGTGTGTCTCTATGTCTGTGTCACTGGTTGGGGGAAACACCAACCAGATCTAAAGATGAGAGAAATCCTAGAGTGAAGGCTGAACCTGCCCTGGTCCATCCTGGGAGTCATGCCCTGCACTGGGAGGTCGTGCCCTGCACTGGGAGGTTGTGCCCTACACTGGGAGTTTGTGCCCTAGAAGGTTTTACAGTTTCAACCACCAGCCCTTTGGCTGGACTTTGCTTAAAAGCAAGTCCTCACATCAAGCTTCGCCTTAGGGATGGAGAAGTTGAGACACAAATGGTACTGACATGTCGTGGGCTCTTCTTTTTCCAAGAAGTACACTTTAGTTCACAAAGACCACCACCTGGGAGTCAGCATAATGCCTTGGAACAGTGGATATTTACCTGCCCTGAACAGGAGGTGACAGTCCTTAGAGGCACACAGGACACACCCCACAGTGTCCTTCCATTGGCTGTTTTAGGACAGCGGGGTGTAGCCCTCAGGGCTGGCTGGGGCAGGTTTGCAAATACCTTCCATGCTCACAGTCACAGAGACCAGGTGTCTTGTGCAACTGCTATGAACACTGAAGGGAAATGACAAGGGGAGTCCACCAAACAGCCCCAGGCCGGCCCCTCACCTGCTGCACCAGCAAGGCCAGCGCTGGGAAGGCCGGGGAGGGCGAGGGGAACAGGCACTTCCACTCCGTGTCCACCTTGCATGCAGAGCCTCAGCCCTGCCTTTAGTAACAAGTCTCTGGGGGAGGGAAGAGAAGCACCGCCCAGAGGCCTGAGCAGGGGAGGTCTGAGTCTGGGTGTGACCCGGCCCAGGTGTGGAGTGCAGGGGGCCTCATGGACTTAGTGATCCAGGCGTCTGTGGATTAGAGGGGGCCCAGGCAGAGCAGCCGGTGCTCAGATGCTCAGGGAAGGGGGTCAGGGGTCAAGGCCCCCTGCAGGGAGCTCCTCAAGGTTTGCCTCAGTTTGACACAAGCTACTGCCATCCACACAGTGATTTCCTCTCACTTTTCCCTTTACTGATAAAACTCTCCATCTTTGGGCAAATGAGGCTGGGGGCTGTGCACAAGGCTCCCCCACCTTCTCCCTGAGTGTCTGCGCCCCAGGTGGGCAGCAGTGGGGGAGCCCGAGCGTGAGCAGGTTCATCTCCTGGGCCAAGCCAAGGGCACTGGCTGTGTCCTGATGCCATGGGGATGTGGAATCGTGTAAAGGAGGATCCTGAGGAGGTCAAGCTTTGAAAATACTATGCCCCTTTAAGAGTTCCTATAGTGAAAATAAAGTCACAAATCAGTGGCAAAAGATGGAACCTGCAGAGTTTAGAAACCTCCTCACTTCAGCATAGATGAATCAGTGGCGGAGGAGGGATGAGTCAAGGGAGGACGAAGAAGTCAGCCAGTGTGGTCTTTCCAGGGTGGGTGATACTCACCCAAGGACCCCAGGTGGACCCAGGTGCTGTGGAGCCTGAGGCTTATATGATATAGGAGACTCTATAGATGATATCTAGCAGTATTACTGACTATTACTACTCATAGTATTAGCAACACAAAACTAAGCACAGATGTTATTGTCTATTTAGGAAGACAAAATCAATTATAGCCAATTACACGTTTTAAAATGCTGATAAATACTGCAACCATCACAAAATCCAGAAAAATAACATTTCTTGAAGCACAATCAGGCTACCTCAACTATGTCTATCATCAATGGAATGGGGTTCTCGAGTTTGTTGCAATAATACAATACTCACACCACGGGACCTGGAGCAACTGAACAAGGGGAAGGAGGGTCATCACTGGATTAGGAAGAGACTCTGTACAGGATTTTGCTGGACTCACAGCACCCCAGGGCTGGGTGTAAAGGAGCTAGTTCCAGGTTGGGCTGCAAAGGGGACCCAGGGCCTATGTCCACTGAACACAGAAGGTTGAGCCAGATGTGAAAACTTCTGTCCAGAATCCCCTTCTCTGAGGTTCTGCGTCTCTCCAGGCAGTGGGATGTTGACTTACTGATAGATAATTTTCTGATAACCCAGATTCTAGGGAAGAACATCTTTCACTAAGTAATAAAGTGATAGTTTGCAAAAGAATAGGCTAATTGAGATTTCAAAGATGCAGCTCTAGTGACATCTTGCATTTCTGTTCATGATGCAACTGCTCTGTTCTCATTCATCTATTCCTCCCTTCTAGGAATGGACGGGCAGGGTTTTCCTTACCTAGTCCATGATATCTCTATTTACTCACATAAAATTTTAATTAATGAACTATTGACACAACTCTGTAATAATTTCCTCCTGTATTTCATACTTGGATAGTCAATGCCTATTTACCTCATCACAGCACACCGATATTACAAAATCACTTTGTCTAAATATAATAGAAAAATAAATCAGTCTTTTCATTCACCACTTTCAATACTTTTGTTAAATTGATGGTGTATAACATTTTTTCTGCCTCAAAACTCATAATTGATCTTATCATCCAAATTTTTCAGGTTGTCAAACTTAAAAAGCCTCTGACAGTTTCCTTTCATATATGAGCTATAAGATTTTAGTACTTCCTAGGTTTTCTTGGCTTAAGGACAATGATCTTAAACACTCTTCAGCTGACAATGCTCACTTAGCACATCATGTATTTCTTACTTTTCCCAGCAATGTTTCATCTTGTATTGTTTGGAGCTGCCAGACTCCATCGGGACAGGCAGAGGTGAGAGGACAGATGCCACACGCCGGCCGGGTCTGTGCTGAAGCACATGCAGATGTCCTTGCTGCGGGGAGTTTCGTTACATGGGTCTGCACCTTACAAATGTGGAATTGAAGAAATTCTAGCTCATCCAATTCTCGTGAAAATAAAAATAAATGCCTGGTGTGCTAATCATTGCACATACCATATTAGTGAGTATATTTCCAATAAGACAAAACTTCCCTTTTTACCTAGGAGTCAAAAAAAAAAAAAAAAGCCAAACACTCAACTCACAATTTTTGATGTTATGGTGGGAATAATTAATTTTCCACAGACTAGCTTCTGGCTCCATGCATTGCAAGCCTGTTTCCTCTCTTCTAATCACAAAGGTCCAATGGGAGGTGCTATGGGACACATCCTGATCAAGATGCAACCTCTGTCCCTGATCCTTGGTTGATGACAGAGCCTGGAGAAAATAAAATTCACTGACCTAAGGGTCAGAGCTCTGATGGCAATACACAGGCGGCACCCCTGCTCCCACACATTTCCCTTTGCCTGGGCATGCTGGGAGCCCTGTGTGATTGCATGAAGGCAGAAGAATGTGTGTACTGGCCCCTGCACAAGCCCAAGTGCTCTGTCTGATAAGCTAGGATTTCACCATGGCCTGAATTGGACCCACCTGAGCTCAGGACTCTAATTAGCTGCACTCTGAGACATGGTGGCCCTCAGATTGTGTGGCCCCTTTGCGGCCTCTGTTCCTTTACAGTAGAAATTTTAGCCCAGAGCCTCACACTGAGGGTTGGGACTCACAGTTTTGGGCGGAAAGTTAGTAGCATGCTGTTACTTCAGGGGCACACAAGACCTTCTCCAATTGCAGCAGAAACGTGGCTTTTTAAGCTTAGGATAAAAATAAGCTTAAGAATAGCAAACAACAGACACCATTGTGCATGTTACTTGGGAAAACAGGCAAGCTTTCCCAAGACATGACATATAAGATGACAGGGAACTGCTAAAGATTATTTTTTTATATCAGTTTGCCTAGAGCATGTGGCCATCCATGTGCTGCTCAGCTTTACTGAAGCAAAGTGCAGTTGTGCAATAGATTGTCCTGAAGAGGGGGCTGAAGTCTCAGAAGATGCACAATGAGCTCCTAAACAAGGAAACCATACTAAAAACAGCAGAAAATTTTTTGATGAAGCCCAGAGCTCTCCGAGGATGTGGTTCTGCTCGATGAACGTGCAGAGAGCTACATCTGCCCTTCTGTGTGTCCTCCTGTTCAGTAAGAAAGTGTGATTCTTCTGAGAATGCTGGGTGGTGTCCTGGACTCCAAAGAAAGAACTCTGAGCTGAGTCTTGGATAGGGACCTAATGGGAGCTGAGTAAGTGCAAAGGCAGGTGAACCGGTCCTGAAAACAGCACTAGATGCAATCTTACACAACTTATGTTTAAATGTACTTTTTTGTAAATGCTGTTGTATATTCATTGGCACATTATACTTTAGAAAACCTTCATGTCAATCTGCCAGAATTTGGGTTGAAAGTAGCTCATACCATTGTAACTATGCATTTTTTCTGCTCCTTTCTCAAAGAGTAAGATTTTTGTTTTTTAAATCTTTGAATTATCAGTTTGGCTAAGTGATTTTTTGGTAACCTGTGATCCTGTTTCACAAAAAGGGTTTTATGTAGACAATTCATGACTTTTTAAGTTTTCATTAAAATTTAAAATTACTAAAAGTAAGAATTCTAGTCAATACATGTGATTCTATACATAAAGTGTACTAAAAATAAGATAAGTTTTTAATAAGGAAAAGTATAAAAGAAGTATAAAATGTGTTCTTATTAAATATATATATAACTTTTCTAATTTATAGGTTATGTAAAGATTGAATCAAAATATGAATTGAGAAAGAAAAAAATAGAAAGTAACTAGTGAGTAAGAGAAAGAGATGTACAAAGGTGATGACTATAGAAATGTATCTTTGTAAGAAACATTAAACAGAAAAGAGAATAATAACGTAGAGAAAGGATCCTGTATGGAAATTTTTGTCCTAAAATGACTGGTTATTTAGGGAAACAGAATGGTAGGAGAAATCAGAAAGTTGTTAGGCATGTTTTATTGATGGTCCATGCAGGTCGGGATAAAGTTTATAAAGGGAATTTATGATGGAAGTTTGTGTATGATCCAGTTGCCTATAATGAAAAAGAAACATTTTTGTGAAACAAAGTTTTCTTCATATATTAATTTGCTCTTAATGAAATTATATTATGTATTCATCTTTACTCTATAATCTGTTTCCTTATATAATTAAAAAATGCACTACAGAAGGGTTTTTTTTACTTTTGGGTATCTGGCCTAAAATGTGCAAACATGTTATGTTTTAACAAGGTAATCTCTGTATTCTCTTCATTAGGTTCTGACTAACTAGAAAAACTAAATTTTAATACGGTTAAGGTTTATAACCACATACTTTTCTATACTACCTTTAGAATCTTTTGATGATTATCACTCTTGGTTAAATAAATGACCCTTATTTTATAATGGTTTATAATTCTATTTGAACAAATGTTTCAAGCCTGTGATATCTGACAAACTTTCCAAAGCACAAATTCTTAATCTAGCCTTTTGACCTTAAACTAGCTTTTTATCTATTAGGGCCAGTGAAAGTCTAAGAGAGACATATTAAGCTTATTTGGCATGTTAAAACCATATAGGAAACAATATGAAATTGTGTATAACTTTCCTTGCATTATACTTGTTATTAATATATGTTTCAATAGTGTAAAATATTGATGTCTTTGTGTATGTTTTCAATAATTATGGTTATTTTTTTAAATTGCCACAAAAATAACCAACTGTGTTTGTAAATTGTCTCTTTATCCATGGTCTAAGACTTTTGTCATCCAGAGACAATTATTATTTTACTTTGATTCATCTCAGAGAATGGTTCTTTCAACTGGCTAAGTCCAAAGTTTGCTTCTTCAAGGAAAATCATGAAAAGAACTGACAAGTATTCTTAAATACTTATTTCTGATAACTTTGGAAATTACATACTATTGGACTAAGAAAAAACAAACTTCTAGGACTTTGTTGATATGTCCCTGAGTATTACTAACCCAACCTCAGACAGAATAGAAATTTATTACTTGGGACCTAACTAAATTGTTTTATACCTTTTTGTTTGAAACATTGCTGATTCTTTTTGTGCATTGTTTTCCAGAAGTCAAGAAAACTTTTTTCTTGTTTTGAGCTATTTATAGCTTACAACAAAGTATATATTTGTAAGCAAAATTTAAATCATTATTCTCTCTACTTGATTACTCCAGACTGAACAATATTTGTAAGCATTCTTAACTTGTGGCAATATACTTATTTGCAAAAGTTCAATGAGAATCTATTTTCTTCTATAACAGGAAGACACAGGTTAATTTGCCAAGAGTTTCACTTGAATGCCATATTGCCAGAGGTGCCCAGACCGCATTAAGAAATTAAGGTTGACTTTATAAAGCCAATAAAAAGGCCTTTGGAGAGACTGGTCAGGTACCTCACCAATAACATTTCCTGATCTGTGGTGAGTAAAGAATGTCACTTTCTGACAGGTCTAGGAACCCTATGCTACGTTAGGAACTTGAGAAATGAGTCATTCACCCAATTCAGACACGCACCTAATGGCAAGGATAAATCCTTGGCTTGACCTGAGAAGCTTTCAGGTCTAACTTGAGATTCCTTATGCAAAAGTTCCAGCAAAGCCAATTTCAAAAGCAATAAAAGCCTATATGGTTAATAATTATTCTTACAGCACTTTATACAAATAATCAGGCCAAGTATGATAAAAATAAAGTTTATTTTGGCAAGTAAATTGATCCTACTATGATTCATTCTTAATAAAAATGAGAGGCAGAGATTCAAAAAATAGGGTTCAGAAATTAAACAAAAAAACAAAAAACTATAGTCCATCTGTTATTAGATTCTAGTCTTGCCCACTGCTCTTTGTGTTTTTGATATTTTCCTACAATTCGGACTGAATCCTGACTTCTCTTCTGACTACAAGTCTCCAGATAAAGTTCCCCAGGGATGTCTAAAGAGACAGTTGGCAGGAAAATACCAGGACACCTGGTAGCAAAACCTGCTAGAAATACTAGTCCCCATCACAGAGTATATGACAACGGACACATGATTAGAAATCTGTCTGTGGCTCTAGGGCTGATCACAGAGGAAACTATAAAAAGCCTTAGGGCTCAACAAAAGTCCCTCAACTGGCTATCCCAGGTAGTCTTAGGTAATCAGGCAGTGATATATTTACTGTTGACTAAACAAGGAGTCTGTACAAGGTTAAACACTACCTGCTGTGCCTCAGGAAAAGTTGAAACCTGAATAGAAAAAAAATTTCCTGGAAAAGCTATGTGGTTAAAACAGGGTCCAACTAATAACCCCATATCTTATTGGTTTTGGGGATTATTTACTTGGATTTCCCAGAACTTCAGATCACTTCTCCAAGGGTTCCTGAAGCTAGGTACCATCCATTTTACTATTCACTGTTCACTTAAGTACTGTGCTAAGGCTGCAAATGTTCTTGTCATACCAACCTTAGGTCCCAAACCCAGCACCCATGAATATTTGCAGATGACTGCAAAATGGTTTTGTTTCCCTTATGCTGGGCTAAACCCCAACTGACCCCTTCTCAGCCAGAAGAAGCAAGAGTTGTTCTTTGCCCTTTCCCTTCCTATTTTGCCCACACCTCCAGAATGAGGTTGCATAAAAGCCCAGGGTGAAAGGGAAACTGCCCTTCCTCTCTGCATGACACTTGCTGATAGGAGGATCCCCTATATCACCCCTTTTCATCACTAGACCCTAAGGTGAGGCCGGTAGGCCTCTCTATCCATAAGGTTCTCCCCCAGGAGGACACGCTGAGTGATGGACTACAGGTGATTCATGAGACTCTTAATCAAACTGCATTCTCTATGGAAGTTAGTGGCAGACATGCTGGAAGGGCTGCTGATCCAGGTCAGCCTGTAGCCTGAGGCATTCAGTTTTCATGGGCACCCGGGTCTTTGTAAGTTCATTCCCAGTGTCACTGCTTTCTCCCATATGGTGATGCTACAGCTGGTTTGGGGGATGGAGCATCCCACAGCCCCTTGCTCCTCTGTGCTCCTCCTCACCCTCCTAGTGTGTATGGACCTGAAGCCTCTCTTTTGCCACTCAAGCATGGAACCTGACCTCTCTGTATATATCCCTACATTGCCATCCGAGTCTTGAGTAGGTGAACCCACCAAACACCTGTGCTCAGGACGATTGCAAACTGAGGTTGTCCTGCCAGTTCAGGTGGGAGCCCGCCCCTGCACTGCACAGCAGGTCTCCCAGCACACAGTGCTCCAGCGGCTGCTGTGATGTGGGGAGGGGCTGCAATCTCCCTGCTCCACTCTGCTGTCAGTGTGGCCCTGCGTCCCTGCCACCTGCCCAGCGGCCCCCATCGTGCCTATGCTCTCTGAGCTGGGTTTGGCTGGGAATGTGTCCCCATTTTGGGGAGCCAGGTCTCTCAGTGCAAATCACTCTTCTGGTTGCTATGGAGTGGATGGGGTCACGGTTACAATCGAGCTTGAGCCAAAATTACTTTCAGGGATGCCAGGACTGGAGGATGTGCAGAGGAGTAGGAATCCAGATGCAGGGATGCTGGCTCTCTGTCCCTCATGGCACTGCCTGTGGGATGAGAGCTCTGTGTCCTAGTGCTGGCCTGATGCACCTGGGTAGAGTAGGGGACGCCCCTTAACCTTCCCCCGTGTTCCTGGCTGCCCTGTATTTGGTGTGCACTACCAATTTCTCTTTTCCATCCTCCTCTTTCTCAGCTTCACAGCTCCTCTTGGTGGGGTCACTGGACACCTTTGTTGTGTGTGCCTGTGTGCCACATCTGAGCGTAATCCTTTTCCACTCTCCTCAGACCAACACTCTGCTCTCCTGCTGGGACGATCTCACAAGCTGTGTCTCTAGGTGGCCATCTTGGCTCCTCATGCATCCTAAGTTAGAAAACTCAGAAAGAAAGCAAATCATAAGAGAAAACCTGAGCAACATTTATCTCTCTTCTGCCTAGAGAGAATCACATCAAGTACATGTATCTACCTACTGTGTGATGCTTTTGTTGCTGTGTAGATTTTCTCTTTATCTTTGGCATCTTTATTAGGTAATGTCTTGCTTGGAGTTCATTGGCCTTTCTGGATATGTGGATTAATGTTTCTCAGAAAATATGGAAATTTTTGGCCATATTTGTAAGAATTTTTCTGCTCCTTTCTCTCTCCCTCTGGTATTCCTAAGTGTATAGTTGATGTACTTAGCAGTTCCTTCTGTCCATTTTTCTTCATTCTGTTTTCTGTCTGTTTTTAATATAGTA